ACGTCCAAGATTTCATTGCATAGCAAAACAGACAATCTTATTATATGTACATGACTTTAATATAGACTTTAACTCAACATATTTCAGAATTCCCTCTATTTTTATTCAAAATCTAAGAAGTTATTTTAAAAATCTTGTTTATAAAACGTGTTCTTTCTAAATTCACAAAGTTTCAGCACAAAGTTACAACATTGAGCTGCATTCGCTTGTAACTTGCCTTTTCGTCAGAACAGGACACGAAATGCGCTCTATAAACTTCGAACCGTATAAAGTCGACATCGGATATGCGGTAAAAAAAATTAAATGCGGATTATTTTTTCCTTATTTCATTGGGAAGAATGTACATTAAAATAAATTTTTTAAAGAGATTTGTGTATCTAAACTAACGTAGTGTGTTACAGATGCACGAATTACGGCTGATTCGGTAAATCGTGTCGTTAATTGGATTGTTTCCTGTTGAATACATTTTACCTACAAAATATCATTAAAAGATTTTTTAATTCCTTAGTTTGAATTTTTTCAGTGTGTTTGTTATTCATTGTAATTTAGTTATCTTTTTTCAAATTTAAATTTATGTTACGTTTCGATATAAATAACATTCTGTACATTTACGCAGAATCGGGTAGAGTTAGCAATGATATTACCCAAGCTTAATTAACTTCTCCAAGACGCCGAAGGGGCTTGGGATTCATCTACAAACACAGTCTATAAAATGAATTAACTTCTCCAAGACGCCGAAGGGGCTTGGGATTCATCTACAAACACAGTCTATAAAATTAAGCAGCGTGCAGTCAAAACATGGGTGTGAAAGGTGTGAAACTATGACGACGTCGAGATACCCGGAGTCGTCCGTGCGTGACGAGCGACCCTATCTGACAAACAGTTAGGTTCAGTAGAGCAGAAAATTGCCGATGTCGACATATGCCAGGTAAATTTTGCTCTTGGGACTGTGAATATACGTCGAGATAACCCGGGTTGTCGACATTACCGAGGTCGACATATCAGAGTTTTTGCAAATCATTTATATAGTAAATACTGCGGGGACCGCGGAAGGATGTCGACATATCCCAGGTTGTCGACATATCCGATGTCGAGATACCGAAGTTTACCTGTAGCTTTAATCTTTTAAAAAGGTATGTAGAACGATACTTTTCCTCTAGCAATTTTAAACAGAATTATTAATTTTGCAAAATTTAACAATCAACTGAAGTTTTTGGTCTTAGTCGTAAGTTCTTTTGTAAAACAGGCCCCAGAGGTATAGCATACATAAGCTAATCTAGACTTTGTAGAGTGCTTTCACTACTTTGACAAATCATTTATGTTGACATAGAGAAAGTTTCAGGTTACATTCCATCTATAATATTTAACAATGCTATAGCATTATTAACTAGAAAACTGACCAGTCAGCAAGGGCCCCGCCAAGGGGTAGAAATATAAGGGTGCAGCTTACAAAATGAGAATTTAATTGATTACAAAAATTTTAAAAAAATATATGAAGAAGAATATGCAATAACAACTGTATTTATAAAATTTCAAGATAATTCCTAAATATCCAACAACCTGTAAAGAGTATCCCTGTATTAATTTACATAAGGCAGTAAAAAAATGCCATATCTATAATTACTCAATTAAATGTATATTTAAACAAGAATAAAGCATGTGTTTTATAAAATGCCAGCCTTCAGTGAATGCAGATATCACCCAGGCTTGACCTTAACTTCAAAAACAAACATCAGTTGCAGACAAAGGTTAATTTATCTTAAAGTGACAAATAAAGATAAGCCTGGAAAATCTTCTGCCCCAGACAAGATAATTAATCCCAGGGGATTAATTGTACTGCTCTCTCATCCTTTTCTTCCAAGTTTACAATAAGAACTTTTCAGTATAATGATCGAATGAGTTTATTATCGGACTACCTGTTAATATTAATAGTATTCTTGAATTTACATACGGCAGCAAAAAATAAAAATAAAATAAAAATAAATAAATAAAAAAAATAAAAAATAAAAAACAAGAGGCCCAGGGGCCACATCGCTCACCTGAGCACTATGGCTAGGAAAAAACCAAAATCACTTCAATCTTGAAAGGTTGAAAAGTTTAAATATAAAAGTGGTTGGGGGGGGGGGGTGTCATGAATTGAACACATTTGAATCTACATTATCTGAGGATGCTTCCATTTAAATATGACCAATCATGGCTTTGCTGTTCTTGAGTAGAAGATTTTTAAAGATTTAACCTATGTATTCCTATGTAAAACTTTGATCACCCATTGTGGCCCCACCCGACCCCCAGGGGTCATGTTTGAACAAACTTGAATGTACACTATCTAAGAATGCTTCCATATAAATATGACCAATCATGGCTTTGCTATTCTTAGCAAATAGTTTTTTTTAAGGATTTTTACTATGTGTTCAAATGTAAAACTTTGATCGCCCATTGTGGCCCCACCCGACCCCGAGGGTCATGATTCGAACAAATTTGTATGTACACTATCTGAGGATGCTACCATATAAATATGACCAATCATGGCTTTGCTATTCTTAACAAATAGTTTTTTTTAAAGATTTTTACTATGTGTTCCTATGTAAAACTTTGATCGCCCATTGTGGCCCCACCCAACCCCCGGGGGTCATGATTTGAACAAATTTGTATGTACACTATCTGAGGATGCTACCATATAAATATGACCAATCATGGCTTTGCTGTTCTTGAGACGAAGATTTTTACTTTGTGTTCCTATGTAAAACTTTGATCGCCCATTGTGGCCCCACCCGACCCCCGGGGGTCATGATTTGAACAAACTTGAATCTACACTACCTGAGAATGCTTCGATGTAAATATGACTAATTATGGCTTTGCTGTTCTTGAGGAGAAGATTTTTGAAGATTTTCCTATATATTCCTATGTAAAACTTTGATCGCCCATTGTGGCCCCACCCAACCCCCGGGGGTCATGATTTGAACAAACTTGAATCTACACTACCTGAGGATGCTTCCAAGTAAATATGACCAATCATGGCTTTGCTGTTCTTGAAAAGAAGATTTTTGAAGATTTTCCTATATATTCCTATGTAAAACTTTGATCGCCCATTGTGGCCCCACCCGACCCCCCGGGGTCATGATTTGAAGAAACTTGAATCTACACTATCTGAGGATGCTACCATATAAATATGACCAATTATGGCTTTGCTGTTCTTGAGAAGAAGATTTTTAAAGATTTTTCCTGTATATTTCCTATGTAAAACTTTGATCGCCCATTGTGGCCCCACCCGACCCCCCGGGGTCATGATTTGAAGAAACTTGAATCTACACTATCTGAGAATGCTACCATATAAATATGACCAATTATGGCTTTGCTGTTCTTGAGAAGAAGATTTTTGAAGATTTTCCTATATATTCCTATGTAAAACTTTGATCGCCCATTGTGGCCCCACCCAACCCCCGGGGGTCATGATTTGAACAAACTTGAATCTACACTACCTGAGGATGCTTCCAAGTAAATATGACCAATCATGGCTTTGCTGTTCTTGAAAAGAAGATTTTTGAAGATTTTCCTATATATTCCTATGTAAAACTTTGATCGCCCATTGTGGCCCCACCCGACCCCCCGGGGTCATGATTTGAAGAAACTTGAATCTACACTATCTGAGGATGCTACCATATAAATATGACCAATTATGGCTTTGCTGTTCTTGAGAAGAAGATTTTTAAAGATTTTTCCTGTATATTTCCTATGTAAAACTTTGATCGCCCATTGTGGCCCCACCCGACCCCCCGGGGTCATGATTTGAAGAAACTTGAATCTACACTATCTGAGGATGCTACCATTTAAATATGACCAATTATGGCTTTGCTGTTCTTGAGAAGAAGATTTTTAAAGATTTTTCCTGTATATTTCCTATGTAAAACTTTGATCGCCCATTGCGGCCCCACCCTACCCCCGGGGGTCATGATTTGAACAAACTTGAATCTACACTACCTGAGAATGCTTCCACATAAGTTTCATGTTTTCAAGCACAGTGGTTCTTGAGAAGAAGATTTTTTAATGATGCCATTAATTTTTCACGAATTCTTAATTATCTCCCCTTGGAAGAAGGCGTGGCCCTTCATTTGAACAAACTTGAATCCCCTTTACCCAAGGATACTTGTGGCAAGTTTGGTTGAAATTGGCCCAGTGGTTCTTGAGAAGAAGTCGAAAATGTGAAAAGTTTACAGACGGACAAACGGACAGACAGACGGACTACAGACAAAATGTGATCAGAAAAGCTCACTTGAGCCTTCGGCTCAGGTGAGCTAATAAAACAAACATATCTTTATGTATATCTTGTTTTAGAATTCAATAAAATCATAAGTCATTGTGTATTTTACCAAAATAAAGTATGAACATTATTTAAATCCACATTTCAGAGAATGTAAACATCATTCAGAATTGACCTTAACTTCAAAACAAACTTCATTTGCAGATAGAGGTGTTAATTAATCTCAATTTGACAGAAACAGATAAAGCTTTGGATTTTCTTCAAGAGGAAAGTTAATTAATCCCATGGGACTAGTTGCAGCTTTCATAGTTTACAATAGGAACATTCTCAGCAGTTATCTCTCTTTGCCCTGACATTCATTCTAATGTAAAGTTAAGGAATCTACCCCACCACCCCAGCTCCAAACTGGATGACATGGAGAACCAAACTAAGCATCAAAATATGTCTTACTGCCTCTTCAACCAACATATCAAATTTGAACTTAATTGGTCAACTACAAAAAAAGTTATTAGAAAAAAACAGAAAATTTGTGGATGGAAGAATGACAGACAGACAGACAGACGGACGGACAGACAGAGTGATTACTATAGGGCACCCGCAAATCCTTGTGGGGCCCTAATTACCGGTAACTATCAAAAGAATGCCAATTTCACACTCAACTCTGTGTCAAATTTTACACTATGAATTTGATTTGGCACCTCTCTCTCTCTTTTTCTCTCTCTCTGATATTTTTGAATCTTACTTGCAAGGCATTGTGGGATGGTGATACAGACAAGCATTGCCATTAACACATGCTGGCCAGAATCTACATTTTTCAGACAATTTGGCAGCTTTTGATGGAAGAACTTCTTCCTCTTCTTCATCTGTTGTAAATTAATGATTGTTTAAAATACTTGTAATAAATCATATAAACAAAACGATCATAGGGCAAATTAATGTGGCCTTAACTTAGTTGAAAAGTTAAAGATGATTGCTAATCTTGTCTAATCATGAGCATCCAGCTTCTATCCTAGCAAACAAGCTGTATGACCTTGTCTAAATGACCTTGGTTCAAGATTATGATACACCTTTTGGTTATTATCCACATTCATGTGAAACATGATCTGATGTCATTCCACTGTAGTACATGTAATAGTTTAGACAATAATGTTACACTTCTAAAACCCAGCAACCTTGATCTTGTCCGAAAGTCTTTTCTTAATGGTACAGACATATCCTTTACTCACAAGCAACCTTTATGCAACATCTAATGTTCTGTGTTTCCCCATTTTACACTTCTGTATCCTGTGATTCTGACATTATTAAATTTTTAAAGACCTAGGGGGTCCTGTCCTCAAGCACCTGTGATTTTCCATTAAGTTTATTAATTTTCTTTGAGTGGGTGTACCATTAGTTTTCATTGGATTCCATTTTTTTTGGAATGGAATCCATTCTCTGTTGGTATAAAAAGGGGGTTCCATTGTTCAATGGGGACTTCAGCCCTTTTCACTTTCTTTGATTAGAAGTAGGTCTTTTGGCTAGATTTTTATCTGAATTCTTAGATTAAATTTAATTATCTCCCCTTGTTTAAAGGTCACATCCCTATTTTTAACACAAAATAGAGCCCTTGGGCCAAGGATGCTCTGTGACAATTTTGACAAAAATTGAACAAGGGGTTCTTGAGATATGGCCCATATTCCAAAGAGTTGACGCACACCGCACAAATGGCCATAGCATTAGCTCTTTGAGCCTTTGGCTCAGAAGAGTTACTAAAATTATGTATCTTAGTACAGTCTTTTTTTGTATCAAGTCTTATTGAAATCAGATAAAAATTGTAGTTCTGAAGAGTAGTGTTTTGGAGGAATTCTATTGAAATTTCTAATTTTTGTATCCATCGCAACACCCTAGATCGAAATCAGAAACAGAATCACAGAATTCTGTATTTTGTCTTATTGAAATTGGACCAAAATTTAAATAGTAGTATTTTGAAAGAATTTCTAACTGATTTCTATTTTTAAAAACCATGGCAACACTGTTTTTCGAAATACAGAATATTGTATCTTAGCACAGTCTACTTGTGTTCCAAATCATAATCATATTGAAACTAAACCAAACCTGTAGATGAATTAGCATTTTGAAAGAATTTCAAAGAAATTTCTATGTTTAATCAGTCTTCGCCAAATCTTTTTTTCAGTACATGCCCTTCGGGCAGGTTTAACCACTTATTACGCTAGCCCAAACAAATATTTACATGCCCAGAATTTTATCAAATAATTTTATTCTTATTTGCCTTTTCATGCCAAGGAAATGATCCGAAATCCATTTCTATTGATCTATTGTCTCGCCATTTATTGTTTTCAACCTGTACACTTTTTGTGTCTCCTTTGCAAAAGAGTTCCTTGGAAGTCACATATTGTTTTCAAATTGTATACTTTTTGTGTCTCCTTTGCAAAAGAGTTCCTTGGAAATTGCGGTAGAATAAACTATCGTTAAAATTTTATTTGATGCTAGATTTTAGATGAAAAATCAGACTTTTAAGTACATTTAATGTTATTCGTATTATTTAATTTGACAATATGGAGGCTTAGGCCTCAGAATTTACATGCCCTTCGGGCTTGTAAGCATGCAATTTCCACATGCCCGCTTCCAATTTTACCAGGTCCCAGGCTTCGGACTCCCGGGATTTGTCGAAGACTGTTTAATGAGCATGGCAACACTGATAGTTGAAATCAAAAACCGATATAGAATTACGGTGAAATCCCTAATTTTCGTGGGGGTTTAATTTTTATTCTTTTCAAGGTATGAAGAGACCCACAAATTTATGTCCACCAAGAAATGTAATTTTTCACATATATTACTACCCAAAATTCTTCAAACATGAAATTGAATTACCATGAACCCAAATTTTTTCCTCAAAGCAGGAAAATTTGACCCCATAAAAATAAGTGATTTGACAATATGTATCTTAGTATAGTCTACTTTTGCACCATGTCTTACTGAAATTGGATCAAAACTGTAGAAGAAGTAGGGTTTTGAAAAATTATCTACAGACAGCTAGACAGATAAACAGACATCTTTAATATTAATGTTTTAGCTCTTCTGTTCTCTGACCAGTAGAGCTAAAAATCAGCTCATTATATACAAGCATAGTAAAAAAAAAGTCCAGAAAACAATGATGGAACAATGGACAGACAAGGGTAACAATAAATGTCCCAGCTATTTCATGCCAGGGGCATAATAACAAGAGGCCCAAGGGCCTTAACGGTCACCTGAGTAAAATACAACAATTTAGAGGATCCATAAACTGAAAAATGAAGCTTTGTTGCCCAAAAGCAAGAAAAATAGTATGATTAGCATCAACAAAATAATTGGTCTAGTATCTATCTGCCTATCTGACTTTCCAAGTCATTAAATCTATGAAAGTACATTTTCATTATACAATAAATTATCTTGCATAATTCTCTTATTCTATTAAGCTTTCAAATACATTATTTACATTGATTAATTATCAAAGGTGAATGGCAAAGGGGAATAACTTTGCTCAGCAGAATACAAGTTAATAGAGCCCTGGCCAGGACTAGAACACTTGACTAAATGGTCCAGGTGTTCAAAAATCTGGTAAAAATACCCTTGCATATTAAAACTTTTACTCTGTTTGCCTTGAACATCCCCAGAAGCATAGAAGATTTTCAAAGAAATGCATTTTCACCATAAAATTAAATAAATAAAGCCCCATCCTTACCCAGAACATCTGACCCATTGGCCACGAACTCGCAATTCTGGAAGAAGCACCCTTTCTCATTATAACTATACACTTATTTCTTTACTTTATAACCAGTAGTAGAAAAAATATTTTGAAAGAAATTATGCATTTTCACTATATATAATCAATAGAGCTCTTTCCCCCTCACCAGAACCCCTGACCCAAAGGCCATGAGGCATTCTTCCTTATCATAACCATGCACTTCCTTTGTTTGAAAAATACCCAGGCGCACACAAGATTTTGAAAGAATTCATGCCAATTCCCTATCTAATCAATAAAGCCCCGCCCTAACACCAGAACCCCTTACCCAGAGGCCATTAAATTCATAATTTCTGAGGCAGCCATGCTCATCATAACTATGTACTTAGTTTATTTAATATCCAGGAGCAGAGAAGATTTTCAAAGAATTAATGCAATTTTACTATATAATCAATGGAGCCCATCCCTAACCCCAGAACCCCTGACCCAAGGGCCATGAAACAATTTCTGAAAAGGCAGTCATGCTCACCATAACTATGTTCTTAGTTAGTTTATTTAATACCCAGGAGCAGAGAAAAAGATTTTCAAAGAATTAATGCAATTCTACTATATAATCAATAGAGCCCTGCCCTAACACCAGAACCCCTGACCCTGGGGCCATGAAATTCACAATTTTGGAAGAGGCACTCTTGCTCATCATAAATATCTACTAAGTTACTTTATTTAATACCCAGGAGCAGAGAAGAAGATTTTCAAAGAATTAATACATTTTCACTATATACTCAATAGAGCCCTGCCCTAACACCAGAACCTCTGACCCTGGGGCCATGAAATTCACAATTTTGAAAGAGGCACTCTTGTTCTTCATAACTATGTACTTAATACCCAGGAGCAGAGAAAATTATTGCAATTCTACTATATAATCAATAGAGCCCTGCCCTAACACCAGAACCCCTGATCCTGGGGCCATGAAATTCAAAATTTTGAAAGAGGCACTCTAGCTCATCATAACTATATACTAAGTTAGTTTATCTAATACCCAGGAGCAGAGAAGAAGATTTTCAAAGAATTAATGCCTTTTCACTATATAATCAATAGAGCCCCACCCTAACACCAGAATCCCTGACCCTGGGGCCATGAAATTCATAATTTCAGAAGAGGCACTCTTGCTCATCATAAATATGTACTAACTTAGTTCATTTAATATCCAGGAGCAGATAAGAAGATTTTCAAAGAATTAATGCATCTTCACTATATAATCAATAGAGCCCCGCCCTAACACCAGAACCCCTGACCCTGGGGCCATGAAATTCACAATTTTGGAAGAGGCACTCTTGCTCATCATAACTAAGTACTAAATTAGTTCATTTAATAACCAGGAGCAGATAAGAAGATTTTCAAAGAATTAATGCATTTTAACAATATAATCAATAGAGACCCGCCCTAACACCAGAACCCCTGACCCTGGGGCCATGAAATTCACAATTTTGGAAGAGGCACTCTTGCTCATCATAACTATGTACTAAATTAGTTCATTTAATACCCAGGAGCAGATAAGAAGATTTTCAAAGAATTAATGCATTTTAACTAATGTATATAATCAATAAAGCCCTGCCCTAACACCAGAACCCCTGACCCTGGGGCCATGAAATTCACAATTTTGGAAGAGGCACTCTTGCTCATCATAAATATCTACTAAGTTACTTTATTTAATACCCAGGAGCAGAGAAGAAGATTTTCAAAGAATTAATACATTTTCACTATATACTCAATAGAGCCCTGCCCTAACACCAGAACCCCTGACCCAGGGGCCATGAAATTCACAATTTTGAAAGAGGCACTCTTGCTCATCATAACTATATACTTAGTAAATTTATTTAATACCCAGGAGCAGAGAAGAAGATTTTCAAAGAATTAATGCATTTTCTCTATATAATCAATAGAGCCCCGCCCTAACACCAGAACCCCTGATCCTGGGGCCATGAATTTCACAATTTTGAAAGAGGCACTCTTGTTCTTCATAACTATGTACTTAGTTACTTTATTTAATACCCAGGAGCAGAGAAGAAGATTTTCAAAGAAATAATGCACTTTCCCTATATGATCTATATAGCCCCACCCTAGCACCAGAACCCCTGACCCTGGGGCCATGAATTTCACAATTTTGGTAGAGGACTCAATGCTTATTACAATGATGCCAACAGTTTGACTGCTTGATGTCCAGGAGTAAAGAAGAAGATTTTTAAAGATTGCATTATTTTTGGTGGTTTTAGCCCCACCCCTCAGGCCCCAGGGGGGCAGGGACCATGGAATTCACAATTTTTGTTCCCCTTCACCCATAGGTGCTATATGCCAAATTTGGTTGAAATTGGTTAAGCGGTTTCAGAGAAGAAGCTAAAAATGTTCAAATGTTAACACACGACGCACACCGCACGACGCACGACGCACGCCGACGGACGAGAACGGATAGCAATAGGTCACCTGAGTGACTCAGGTGACCTAAAAATGCAACAGATTTATACAAATTTTTGAATTACTGTACAATGTAATCAAGTAACTAACCATCTGTATCTTTTAGGCTAAATGTAATTGGTTTAACTTCCGGAGCCGAGTGTACAATAGTTTTCTTTGAGATCTCACTGGAGATCTCCATGTCACCTCCCCCTCCTTCCTTTTCAGCTTCAAACCGGTCAGGATTCACCCCATCCAGTGTGACTATAAACCTGGTGTCCACAGGTGACACAAAGGCTGTTGGTTTTTCTCTGTTTAACAAAATCAAATTCATGGTTTTTCTTAAAACAGTAACATGAAATAATGTTCAATTACCTGGTTTGATCTTCAAATTCAAAAGGACCAGACTCTCTGTAACTTCATGAATTGTCTTAAAAGACTTTCATAAAACATGCTATTGAAAAAATCATAATTTTATTAAAACCAGAAGTCTCTGACAAGACTTAGCTCTACTGGTTGTACATGTACTTATAACAAAGGAAGATAAAAGTAGCACATGGACTTGAACCTTTGCAACGGCAATAAATACATTAATGTGGTGATTCTGTTTCTGATTTCGATTTGTTGTAGCAAGATTTATTGCAATCAGACGAAAACTGTAGGGGGAGTAGCCTTTTAAAACAATTTTACAGAAATTTCAATTTTAGTTACCATGGCAACATCATTCAACGAAACCAAAAACAATAAAGACAATTATATATCTTCTGTATCTCAGTGTAGTCTACTTGTGTGCAAAGACTACTGAAGTCAGACCAAAACTGTAGAAGTAGCATTTTAAAAGTATATCAAGAAAATTTCTATTTTTAGAAACCATGGCAACATCATTCATCAAAATCAAAAACTGATACACAGAATTATGTATCTTAGTGTAGTATACTTATGTGCCAAGGTTTACTTAAATCAGACTCAAACTGTAGGAGGATTAGCATTTTGAAAGTATTTCACAGAAATTTCAATTTTTAGTAACCATGGCAACACCATTCATCAAAATCAAAAATTGATGAATAGAATTATGTATCTTATTATAGCCTACTTGTGTGCCATGTTACATTGAAATCAGATCAAAACTGTAAGAGGATTAGCGTTTTGAAAGTTTTTTCACAGAAATTTCTATTTTTAGTAACCATGGGAACACCGTTCATTGAAATCAAAAATGGATAATCAGAATTATGTATCTTAGTGTAGTCTACTTGTGTGCCAAGTTATATTGATATTAGACCAAAACTGTGGGAGGAGAAGTGTTTTGAAAGTATTTCCCAGAAATTTCTATTTCTAGTAGCCAAGGCAACACCGTTCACTGAAATCAAAAACCGATACACAGAATAATGTATCTTAGTGTAGTCTACTTATGTTTCAAGTTATATTAAAATCAGACGGAAACTGTAGGAGGAATAGCATTTTGGAAAATTATTTACAGATGGACGGACAGACAGATGGATGGACGATGGACACCTTACTATCGCATAAGCTCTTCTGGTCTCTGACCAGTAGAGCTAAAAAAAATAATAAAGTCAAACCTCGTTATCTCAAATTCAATGGGACCAAGAAACAAGAGGCCCATTGGTCACATCTCTCGAGCACATTGACATAGAAAAAGCAGAAACCAGTTCAATGTTGAAAAATTCCTATATAAAACTCTAACTGCCCACTGTGGCCCCACCCTAACCTGGGGGTCATGATTTCAACAAATTTGAATCTACACTACCTGAGGATGCTTCAACATCAATATGACTAATCATGGCTTTGCTGTTCTTGAAAAGAAGATTTTTAAAAGATTTTTCAGATATATTCCTAATAATGTAAAACTAAAGTCCCCCAATGTGGCCCCACCTTATGCCTTGGAGGGGGGGGGGGGGGGGAAGGGGATGTCAAGATTAGAATAAATTTGAATTTACACTACTGAGGATGTTTCTTTAATAATATGACTAATCTTGGCTTTGCTGTTCTTGAAAAGAAGATTTTAAATGATTTTTTCCAATATATTCCTATGTAAAACTTAAGTCCCCCAATGTGGCCCCACCCTAGCCCTGGGGGTTAAGATTAATATGACTATTAGTATTAATCATGGCTTTGCTGTTTTGAAGCAGAAGATTTTACAAGATTTCTCCCTAAATATGCCTATGTAAAACTTTGACCATCCATTGTTGCCCCACCCTACCCAAGGGGGCATGATTTGAACAAACTTAAACTTACACTACCTGAAGATGCTTCTATAATTAAATGATTAATCATGACTGTTCTTGATGAAGAAAATTTTTAAAGATATTTCATATATATTCTTATGATAAACTTTGACACCCCGGTGTGGCCATCCCCTACCCCCAGGGGTCATAACTGGAACAAACTTGGATCTCCATTACATGAAAATGCTTCTATGATAATATGACTAATAATGGCTAAGCTGTTCCTGAACAGAAGATTTTTTAAAGACATTTCCTTTATACATTGTATTTCAATGTAAAATGACCCCCTGTTGTGGCCCACCCTATCCCTGGGGGGTCATGATTTGAACAAACTTGAATCTACACTACCCAAGGATGTTTCTATATGATTGCGCCCATGACAAAAGGGCCTTATGGCATTTTTACTAACACAGAGAAATAACGTCATAAAGATGTGACATTGCAGATTGACGGTGAACATCAACGCATATTTTTTTCATCCACGTTTTGACGTTTTGTCATGACTAGCTTTTGTTGCTGTTCTTAACATAATATAATTAATATAACTAATAATGGCTTACCTGTTCTTGAGAAGTTGATTTTTAAAGACATTTATTTAACATGTATTTTCCTATGTAAAACTTTGACCCCCTCTTGTGGCCCTGACCTACCCCTACCTACAAACTTGTATCTACACTACGTGAGGATGTTTCTATAATAATATGACTAATCGTGGTTTTTCTGTTCTTGTGAATTAGATTTTTAAAAACATTTCCTATATTTTCCTATGTAAAAATTTGACCCCCTGTTGTGGCCCTACCCAAACCCTGGGGGGTCATGATTTGTTCAAACTTGAATCTACAGTATGTAATGAAGCTTTCTCATAAGTTCATCTTTTTTGGCCCTATGGTTCTTGAAGAAGATTTTTAAATGACTTAATCCAATTTTTCTTTTTTTTCTTAGACTAGTTATCTCCCCTTGGAAGAGGGTGTGGCCCTTCATTTGAACAAACTTCAATCCCATTTAACCAAGGATACTTTTTGCCAAGTTTGGTAAAAATTGGCCCAATGGTTCTTGAGAAGAAGATGAAAATGTAAAAAGTTATCAACGATGATGACGACAACCACAGACAAATTTTTATCAGAAAAGCTCACTTGAGCCTTTGGCTCAGATTTGGGCACACGAGTGTACATGGTGTACGGCTGGTGTAGGGGATCGCACCTTGTAGAGTATACAGGTGTGAGGACAAAGTATGAGTGCCAGGTAAAGGTCTACATATTATGCAATTTTATATATCTTCTACGGACTGGTAGGCCATCAAATCACCGACACACAATATCCCATTCCTTCTTATTTCAAGAACTGCTCCCGGAATACATTAATTTAGAATGATGTTTCATAGGTGACCCTGAGAATGATAATTAAATTCATACATCCAAAATCTTCTGCTTATTTTAATCTTATATTGGAATTTTAATAATAAAAAAACCCCTCATTATTAGCCACCCACTGCCCTCTGCAATAAATGTGAAATTGCCATAGATGCATTCTTTAATCCAATCCCCTTAAAAAAAATCTAATATTTACAAAACATACTACAAAAATTTAATTAATATCAAATATCATGAATAGCCTATTGGGTATATCACCTTTCATAGTCATAAAAATATATCACCTACATTAATTTATATCGAAGGCCGTGGCTTCTAATAGAATAACCACATTGCTTGACTTTCGCTATATGCATATAAAAAAATGGTCAAGGTTTATATACAGGGTTTGACAATAACTTTTATGAGTACTAGACCAGTCGGGCAACTTCCAATAATTTTTACTAGCCCTGACCATAAAATCACTAGCCCTGAAAACTTAAATCCACTTTTTATAAACTGCTAATTATAATGGAAAAAAGTTTCGAAACCATACTAGAATAAAGATACCGTCTCTTGCACCTGTTAAGATATATATTGACAGACTCTTCCATAGGTCACTATCCATTAAGTTGGGTTAAGCGTGACACACAAAGATTATAAGCCTTAATTAAGGAACAATCAATGAACTTAGTATAAAATTAATTATCCTTAATATAAATACATTGTGAATTAAAGAATATATTATTCAATAACTTCATACTAATTTTAAATACTGAACGAAGTTAGTTCCCATCGCAACTTGTCTATTACAGCTGGGCTAAAAATAGCGATTGTGTCATGAGGGGAAGTTTTCTTTTACAGAGCGATGGGTGATGTTTACTTTCAGACAAATAAGAATTTAAAAAAAATTATAAAAATAAAAAAAACTTTTTAGAATATTTATTTGAAAGACTGAAATGAGGGTTATCATTTATTTCATACACATGACCAGTCGGTCTAGTTCACGAACAATTTACACGACCGGACCACTCATTTACTAGACTGGGTCAGTCAGACGTGCCTTAGTGTCAAACCCTGATATAACGCTATTTGAAAATTGCAATGACAATTTCAAAATTATCTTGGTTACATAAGAATAAATTTTATTAGAAAATTAATTTTCATTTTGTACTTAAAATATTCTAATATTCCAGCTTCTATATTTTTAATATCAACTATTACATTTTTTATTTTTCTTTCTTTCTGTTTGGTTTTGTTTTATTTTGTTTTGGTTTATAATTTCGAAGGGAGATAACTCGCCTTTTAGACCAAGACTGTTTTCACCTATGATCTGTAGGTTGCACCGTGGTGGTGCATATTACCTGGATGGCTGAACCACGGGGGTACGTGGTTTTTACATGAGACACCTGTACTAACTGCGATGAGATTCATACCGTGGGGGTGAGCGGTAAATGCATAGGCTGTGTTGACTGTACTGTATTTTCCTATATAAAACTTTGACCCCCTGTTGTGGCCCTGCCCTGCCCCTGGGGGTCATGATTTGAACAAACTTGTATCAACACTATCTGAGGATGTTTCTATAATAATATGACTAATCATCCCTTCGCTGTTCTTGTGAAGAAGACTTTTATGGACATTTCCTATATTTTCCTATGTAAAACTTTGACCCCCCCCCCAAGTTGTGGCCCTACCCTACCCCTGGGGGTCATGATTTGT